TTGTAAGTACAATCCACACTCATCTACATAGCTTCACACATCAAACATTTTCTTCCTGTGGCTAGACTCCTAAAGCTGCTCCCTCCAGAGTCCAATTCCAGGTTCTAGATCCGAGAATTGCATATGATTTTAATGTATATCTTTCTTTTTTTGTTGTTGTTAATATATTTACTGGAGTTTATCTTTCTTATTTTTGGTTTCTGGTTTGCTGTTATGGTCCTGAACCTATGTGAGGAGACTTCTCTGCACCCAAAGTTTGTCACTGCTTGTCTTACTGTTTTAGGAGGTGTTGGTAGGCAGATGAAACCAAGAAGCCTATGTGATGAAGAAATATCTGCAAATGGGGGCCATGAGGTTGGAGACAGAACATGGCATAAAGGTTGGATTTCTAAAGCTTATCTGAAAACTCTCCCAGGGTGGAGCAGTTTGGCATTGGCCAAAGCGGCAGGACTGGGACAGGCCCAGGGTTGGGAAGTTTTGCTGGAAGATTCACAGAGGAATCAAGAGAAGTGAGGCCGTGCACTTTGCTTCTCTAAACTGGTTCATACAGCTTTTGTCTCAATAGTCACATTCTATCTACCAATGGGCACATCTTGTCCCTGATTCTGTCATCTCTACAGAATGTGATACTTTTCAGCATTCTTTCCTCCCCACGCCTCACTTTTTCCTAATTAGGATTTTTTCCTCCTTTAGGTTTGGTGACTACACCCCCTCCCCTTTATGTGCTGCCTTGATTTTGTTTTTGGTTGTTTGTTATTTGTATCCCTTTAATGTTACCCACTGTGCCTCCTCTACATATGTGCCTGGCATAACTGTATCTCCTTTCAAGCTTAAGTCACATACTGTATCTTAGTTCTAGATATTTTCTCTCAACTTCATTGCAGAAACTTGTCCGTAATGGACCTCAATATTTGTTTGCTCATTCCTCTCAAAGCTGCGTTTCCTTCCTATTTTTGGTCCTAAGTTATGGCACTATTACACAATCCCCCAGGCCAGAAACAAATTCCTCCGTCTGCCTTACCATCAACAGTAGATTAGTAAATGTACTGAGTACTGCTCTTATGACCTTCTAAACCAGGGGTCCTGAAAGTGGGGTTCTCAGGTCACCAGCAGCAGCAGCACTTGGGAACTTGTTAGAAATTTAAATTTTCAGGCCCCACTCCAGACCTGCTTGGGAGAAAGCCAGCAGTCTGTTTTAACATTCCCTCTAGGTGACTTTGATGTATACTGAAGTCAGAGGACAGCTATTCTAGACTTGTGACTGTTAATTTTAGGGATCCATGGTTGGGCTTCAGGAGGACCAAAAAAACACCTGTAATTGTGTCTAAAACTGAGTGTATGCCCATTTATATTTTTTCCAAGTGGATAGCCTTTATTCGTTTTATTTTCAAATGGGTCAGTCCTTCCCAAAATTGGGACTATTCCTTGCTTTCTGATTACCTCCACTTACCCTTTGATCCAGTTCTTTTGCCTCTAGTATCCACCCTTTTCTCTTTTTCTTTCTTTCTTTCTTTCTTTTTTCTTTCTCTTTCTTTTTCTTTCTTTCTTTCTTCTTTTTTTTTTTTTTTAGCATTTTTTATTTATTTGAGAGAGACAGAGAAAATGAGAGCACAAGCAGAGGGGAGGGGCAGAAGGAGAGGGAGAAGCAGACTCCCAGCTGAGCAGGGAGCCTGATGTGGGGCTCCATCCCAGAACCCTGGGATCATGACCTGAGCTGCAGGCAGATGGCTTAACTGACCGAGCTACGCAGCCTTCCCTAGTCACCACCCTTTTCAATGTATCTTCATGTTGCAGTGACAACAATCATTCTAAAACATGAACCTCATCATGGTCATTCTCCTGCTCAAAGGTCTTCAATGGCTCTCAATAGTGTATAAAGTGTATAATAAAGTAACCTCTTACCATGACAAATAGCACCTTTCATCAAGGCTTATTCTTTCTCATGTATCTCTAACCATCCTTTGGTCTAGCAAGAATAAATTTTGAATATTCTGAACCTCACTTGGGCTCCCATACCTCTCTGCATTTGTATATTCCTCATACTCAGTCTGGAATGCCCTTCATTGCCTACCCCCCTCTCCCCCAGCCTGGCTAATTCCTGTTTATTTAAAATTCAGCACAAGCAACAATTCTTCTAGAAAGTCTTCCATTAGGACTAACTTTAAGTGGCCCTCCTATATACTCCCAATTTTGTCTATGCTTATCCCTCTGGTAGTAGTTCTCAAACTTCACTTAGGACGCCTTTACACTCTCAGAAATTATTGAGGACCCTGAGAGATTTATGGGATATCTATCCACATTTATCACATTAGAAATTAGAAACTATTTTAAAACCTATTATATATTAATGTAAATGATGTATTTTTATGATAAAATGATATTTTCCAAAAAAGAATTTGAGAAGAGTGGCATTGTTTTACATTTTTCAAAACTCTTTAATGTCTGGCTTAATAGAAGACAGCTGGATTCTCATATCTGTGCATTCAATCTGTTGTGATATATTTTGGTTGAAACGTACAAAGAAAATCTGGTCTCACACAGATAAGGAGTTGGAAAAGGGAAAACTATTTTCATAGCCTTTCTAGATAATTCTAGATATTCTTCTTTGTTACCACACCAAACCTGACATATGGTAGTTTCTTAGAGTGCAGTTGCAATGTAGACTGAATCGGAAACTGTATCAATTAACTTTTTGTATTCTGCTACATTAAAATCCATGAGTCTATCTACCACTTTGATGACTCATTTGATTTTATAATAGCATGCATTGGCTATTTTGAAAATAGTTGTTGGTTGAGTTGTAGAGATCTTTCAAATGTTCCCATATGTCATTATATAATGTCAAAAAATACATGTGTTAATATCACTGGTATTTTTTAGCAGAAAAGTACTGTAAAGCTGCAGCTTAAGGGGGTGTACACAAATTTTACAAAATTTGTATTTTTGTGTGAATACTCAGTCACACAAGTGCATTTTCTGGGGACAACCATCTTACTTGGGCATGCAACGTAAGTACTTACCATTTCTCTCCACACATTAAAAAGATGTGTATGCTAGTGTGAACATTTAATGAAATGAATAATTTTTATCCCTTTGTCAAGGACATTCTTAGATTAGCTTATTGAAACAATTTTAAATTTTGTATGCTATGATTGCAAGGAGGTAAAGAATACAAAATACCACTATTAGTGCAGTTTGGCACCAGTGCCTTGATTCTTCCTAAGGTGCAGCAGTTTAATCTAGTATTGCTTTTACACGAGGAGTGCAAATGCCAACAAAGTGAAGAAGGTCAACAAAGTCTTAGCATTATATTGAAAATTGTTTTGGGGGTGCCTGGGTAGCTCTGTCATTACAACAAATGTTGGAGAGGTTGTGGAGAAAGGGGAACCCTCTTACACTGTTGGTGGGAATGCAAGTTGGTACAGCCACTTTGGAAAAGAGTGTGGAG